AACTGTTTTCTCAAAACTGGGCTAAAGATTCTCCACTGAGTAAACTCAGTTGCTGGCAAATTAACTACAGTTCCACAGTCAATCAATGCAATCAATGAAAGTAGTAAATTTATTTTGTCAGGAATATGTATTTCTAAGGGATTTCCCCCATTTTTTTAAATATTTATTTTTCAGTTGTAGTTGTCAATACCTTTATTTTATTTATTTATTTTTATGTGGTGCTGAGGATCAAACCCAGGGCCTTGCACATGCTACCACTGAGCCACAACCCCAGCCCTCCCCCATTTTTTCAAAGCTCAAAACTTGACTCTTCTGTCACTATTTTACCACAGTGTTAAACAAGTACTTTATCCATGGAAGATTTGCTTGTCACCCACAGCAAAGGTTACCAGCATTTACATGTCTGTCTCACAAGAATAGCAGATTAATCATCTATATCTTAGCTAACAACCATGTTATTACTTTCTAAGGGAACTTTGTCTAAAATATAGAACATTGTAACAAATGCTCTTCTAATCAGATATGTAATCCTGGTTCTTCTAATCAGATAAGTAATTCTGAAGTGAAACAAGATCACACTTGGGAGGATTTTAACAGGCCAGAAATGCCACAATGAGAAAAATATCTACTGAAGATATTCTAGCCACCTAACCATTTGTTCCCATTCTAAAATTAAAAGGATGAAAATTTCACTCTGAAAAAACTTAGTGAAATAACAATACTGGAGAAGGGTGAGCTTTAAAAGCTACAGATGGAAATTTGAGAAAACTACCCTTTATAAAATAGAACATTTTAGGCATATAAAAGGCATGCCAAATATTAGATACCACCACCAGTTTACGCAATAAAACACTGCAGATACAACTGAAGCACTGTATGATTCCTCCCAGATTCCATTCTCCTTAATGTCTCTCAGAGGTAACCACTACTCTGGATTTGGTGTTTGTTTCCCACAGATGTATATATTTTTGTTACATAAGTATGAATCTGTTAAAAAAAAACAGTAACATTGTTTTTCATATTTATTTTAGAAATTTAATGTTATATATTTTGAAAACATGTCTGCCTACACACACAAAAGAACACATAATATCACCAGCTATCTAGTTTCCAGACACATACTACATGAATAAAAGCAGTCACACATATAAATTTGCCCTGCCTTTTAAACATAAAAGGTTGGCAAACTACATACAAAGTTTTACTTTTTCCTCATAAAACACACCTGGGAAATCATTCTCTTAAATTATATAAATTTGTCACTATTTTTCCCTTTAATGTTCTTTTTCAATTTTTTTTTTTTTAGTTGTAGATGGACACAATATTTTGTTTTTTTATTTTTATGTGGTGCTGAGGCTCCAACCCGGGTCCCGCCCGTGCTAGGCAAGCGCTCTACCGCTGAACCACAACCCCAGCCCTTAGCCCTTAGCTTTAATGTTTATTTGCAAACATTTCACTGTATGGATAAACCATAATTTATGTATTGTCCCACTAGAAAGGTTACTTCCAAACTTTTGTATTAGAAATATGGCAATGAATAATCCACTATTCCAAACACGTGAGTACATCTATAAAACACATTCCTAGCAGTTGAAGCACTAGGTTAATTTTAGTAAATGCTGTCACACTCTATAGAGGTGGTACCAATTTAAATTCTCACCAGCACTGGGTAAGTGTTGTGCATGTTTTTAAAATTTATATAAATCACATTCATCTGCATGTTCTTTTACAATCTGCTTTTGAGATTCACTCATGTTTGATACACACACACACACTCTACATATACACTGTGCACGTGTGTGTGTGTGTGTGTGTGTGGGTATATATATATATATATATATATATATATACATATACATAAAATTCACATACAGATTTTTTTTTTACTTAAGGGATTTTAAAATTTTTCCTGTGATTCATATAGAGAAGTCACCTGTGTACCTGAAATTGCAGTTTTATGTAGAAACTCACCAATTTAATAAATAGGCTACATGTATAAACAATTCAGTTGTCAATTACACACCCAACGTACTAAAGATATCATCCATCTTCTTCATCCCCAGCACCACCAAAAAAATAAATAAATAAGAAACCATCTTCTCTAGAAAAACTTACCAAAATTTCCATATTAATTTAATGTAACAGTATCATGACTCTTTGTTTATTCCATTTTTTAATAATTACTCCACCGAAGGAGATAGGGAACAGACCGCCAAAAAGAAGTAGACACTAAAATCTTAATAATCAGAGGGATGTGGGGAGAGTTGGGCTTGGTGGTACATGCCTATAATCCCAACAACTCCTGAGGGTGAGGCAGGAGGATGGCCAAGTTTAAGGTCAGCCTCAGCAATTTAGCAAGGCCCTAAGCAACTTAGTGAGACCCTATCTCAAAATAAAAAATAAAAAGGGGGTGTTGCTCAGTGGTTAAGCACTGCTGGGTTCAATCTGTGGTACCAAAAAAATAAAAAAAGACATCTAAAAAATGGTAATAATTCAAGCATAATCCTAAACTAACCTTAGTTTTCTGTTCAAACTCTACTTTAAAAATGCTACCATTAAACAGCTGAACTTTTTTTTAGCCTATAAAAGAAAATAAAACAATCACTATGAATTTATAGCCCTGTTCCTCTAAAAATTAAATTTGCTCTAACCATAGGGTATCATACTGCAAATTTTTCTGCACATCAACATCATATCTTCTGTCAATTCTTTCTCTTTAAGTTTACCAATGTGTACAACTAATTTCAAAAGCTTGACCTATTTTAATTATTTCAATAGGAATATATGGTTAATCCTATTATTATAAGAATTCTTGTCACATTAACACTGGTATTAGTTACCAATGTGTCCACTATAGTGGCTACTTTTTCCTGCTCACTGAGCATCCATGTCCTCCTTTCTCTAACCTTAATAATACCAATTTCTTTCTGTTTACCCTGTCCCCCTAAACTATTCAAGTACTTAAGAAAAAGATAACCCTACACACACAAACACCCATGGGTGAGCCATATTCCTCCAATGTAATGCTATTCTCTTTCTGGTGCTTAAGCCAATAGGTACATGGCCAGAGGGTCTGGATGAGCCAATAACACAAGAGAAAGGTTGGGCTTCCTTGTTATGGAGAAACAACCAGAGAATTGGATTTTCTATTAGTGGTGGCAGAAAGCATCCCAACTATTTCACAACATAAAAAAAATGAACTGGTTGAAGATTTTGACGAACATCATCTAATATGTTTATGAACAAATTTAATCATGACTATGAAGTCTATGATTTATTGATGAATATTGACTTTTCAATATTTGAGGAGGTTGTTGACTTTGACAGAATATAGTATTTCAGGAGAGGAATGTGTAGGTGGAGAAAACAAAGTTAAGAAAGAGCAGTCCCTGGAGAGAATATGTCACAGACACATCATAGATCAAACTCAGAAATGAAAAATGTCTTCCTTTCCTATATGCTGTGCCAAATATGAAAACAGACCTGACTACAGTCAGGTCTATTATTAGGGGAACGATGACCACCATAATCCAAGCAGAACTCTGGGAAGGGATGAAGGCATTAAGTCTGTCTTCTCACTATTTGAGGAACATTAATGAGCATTTCTTAGTTGTAAACTTCTGCAGTTTGCTAACAATTAAAAAAAATATATACCATAGTCAAAACTAAATTTAAAACTTCAAGAACACAGAAACATCTTACTGACCTAATACATACCAACCCTAATACTGTTATTACCCTATTCTGGCATTCGCTTTTTACTTCCTAACATTGTTGGCTTTGGTGATTTTCATAAAATTTAGGCAACTGCTTCCCTATGAAGTATAGAGCAATTTTCCAGTTCTATGACTCAGGAAGAGCAAGAGAAGGAAAAGTTCTCCTCTTCCATTCCTTAATAACATCAGAAAAATGTTTATTTAGCCCTGGAACAGCAAAGTTCAGTTCACTGTAAAATATTTACAAAGATTGTTTTTTCTTTCAAGTCAAATGTTATACTAAGAGCTTAGTATATACAAACCATAGCTCATCATTTCCCCGAAGCCAATGCATATATTGTTTTTATCAGCTCCAAACTTCCTTAGTCTCAATACCTAATAACAAAGCCAAATATTTTAAAGAAAAAAAAGTAAGTATGGATTACAAAGTTTGCAATTAAACTCTTTGTGCCGGAATTGGTAGAGTAGAGAATAATTTCCAGGACACCTGTGCTGTTACCCAAGGATAGATGTCCACTCAAACTACTTGTTAAGATATAATATCCTTTGAAAATAAATGGAAACGAACTGTACTAACAGACTAATAACTACTATCTGGAAGCAATAACTCTCCTACCTAGCAGGTTTGGCATACTAACTGAAAAATTCCTGATAGTTAAAAAACTGTAGGCACTGGAGTCTGCATTCGGAATGTAAACCACGTAAAGCAAATACAGGACCAGTGTGTATTCATTACTTTGCTCTGAAGAGAATCCAGGGTCCCTTCCAACAAAATGGCTTTTTTTAACATACATAATTCTGTAGGCTACCCCAAAGCGACCTAACGATGGGGAGAACATTTCATACTCAGTTAACGGCAGGGGCAGGTAAGTCGTCAGCTCCTCAAGGGAACGGAAATACAGACAACCCGTGGGGCGACCGAGGAAGAGATGGGCTGGCCCGAAGCCAAGGGGGCACCACCCGGGCGAACAGAAGGCGCCGAGACCCCGGAGCCCGCAACAGCTTGCGGAGCGCGCCGGGGAAAGTTCGCACCTGGAGGCATCTCGGCCGCCGCCACTCGCCAGCCCCTCCAGCCGCCGCTCCGTCGCCATGGCGACCGACCCCCACCCGCCCCCACCGGGTCCCGGGGCCGCACGCCGCGGACTGCGCTCTGGTAGGAGCCGGGACAGGGGCTGCCCAGCTCGGAGGCGAGCCACGCCGAGCGCGGGGGAGGATGAAGAGGTGCGAGAAGAGGAAGTCTCCTGGCTCCTGGCCGGGACCCAGCCGTGCCCCGGGGGTCCTCACCCTTCACTTTGCCGAAGGTGCCGACGCCCAGCGTGTCTCCCAGGATGTAGTGGCCGATCTTCACCCGCCCGTCGTGTTTCTGCTTCTCGGCTGTCGCCATCTTTCTCCAGGAACTGAGTCTGCGCATGGCGCCGCGGGAGGGGGCGGAGGGGGTGGGTAGGGCCGCGCCGGGGGCGGGCGGGGAGGGGGTGGGGACGCGGGAGGGCAGCCGCGGAGCTGGGCCGCCGCCCTGCGCCGCCCGCCCAGGCCCCGCAGCCGGCCGTCGGGCGCAGACGCTCCCCCTGGCGGGGCGGGCGGCGGGCGCCGGGAGAGGCGGCGGCGCTCCCATCTCGCCCCGCATCCCTTTCGCGGCAGCACGCTCCCACCTGCGCGCGCGGCAGGGGGGCTCCTAGAGTGAGAAGGGTGGCATCCCTGCTCCCTTCTTCACCGACGGAGCCTCTGCACGCGTTGGTCTCCCCTAATGACCACTCCTGCGTCTGGGGTCGGGGTACATCTTTCCGAGGGGAAAATGAGCACTGGGCAAGACAGCTCCGTGATGCGGATATTGCTTGTTACTAGAGCAGCGGCGTGAATTGAGACATGGCAGGGGACACCGCCCTGCCACTGTGTTCTAACCCTGGTATTCATTATCTTTTCTTCTCCGACGAAATCTAGAAGCCACAAGGAATTTCCACTTGTGTCTTTGACCATTTCCCTCCCGCTACTCTATTTTTCCTGTTGAGCCAGAAAGTTTCTGCTGGGCACCGCCTTGGTGGTCTTTTCCTCTGGATGATGTCCTGAAATTTCGAAATTCTCTGTTGCAAGGAGGAGGCTGGGGATGAATGTGTATGTGGGAAGGGGGATGTTATCCAGTACTTATAATGTATAGGAATTAATAATGTTAGATATCTATAAGATATACTTTCACTGCACTAAAAAGGCTTATAGTTACATCGGCCAGACTGACAAATATTTATTGTACTTGCAGTGAGTCAGAATAAGTCTACTGTTTATAAATGGAACCATAACATGTTACAGGGAAAGTAAAGGATGCTTATTTGTAGTAGTTTTCAAGTGAGTTTGTTATTCGATTCTATTCATCTAACAATAGGAAAAATCAAGTGCGTCATCAAAAAAAAAAAAAAAAAAAGTTTATATGTTCTCAGGTTTTCCGGGTTCGTGGGCAAAAAATCGCACTCTTCATGAATGAGGATGAAAAAAATAAAAGACCAAAAATATCATTTTTATTCCCAATGAAAACTATCCAGTTCCCGTGGTTGTTCCCTCTTTTTTTTTTTTTTGTTTTTGTTTTTGTTTATGAAACCAAAATAACACATTAATCACTGTCTGATTCCAAGGAAAGTGTTGCAGGGGAAACAAAAGTCCTTGTCTTTGAGCTTAGAATTGCACCACATTAGCAGACAACAGCATCAACTAGCCTTGAATAATCCCAAATTCCTAATGTATTGTGGATTGCACTTATTTTGGAAGGTAGAAAGTTAAGAAATCTTTGATTATGATACATTGAATGGCAGGCAATTACTGGCTTCTTCATCTTTACCTGTTTGCCTTGTGACTTTCGGTAGCTGAGGCTTCTTCTTCTCCTTCTCCTTCTTTCTTCCTACTGGTGATTGAACCCAGGGGATCTTTACCACTGAGATATATCCCCGGCCCTTTTTATTGAATTTTGAGACAGGGTCTCACTAAGTTTCTGAGGCTGACTTCAAACTTTATGATCCTTGCTAGGAGTACAAGCATACATGTCACCACACCCATCTCTTTTGGGATCACTAACTGTAAATCCAGTTATCTCTGGATTCTATTTTGGGATCTAAGAAACCTTAATTTCATCCCCTCCCCATCGGAAATAGCATCTTAAGTTATAAAGAACTTGCGTCATGTTTAGAATTTAGCCAGGAAGTTTCTGCTATTTTTTAACCTAAAAAATAATTTTAAATGACCACAAAATACCTCAGTTCTGTGCTAATTAAATTAAGTTTCTTGCAAAGGGGCAAACTGAAACTGAATTTGGCATATCCATTTGCCAATCTGTTCATGAAACTATGAAGACTTGAGAAAGTAACAATACATTTTTTTCCAGAAGCATTTATTTGTTGCTCTTTTGTGTTATTGTCAGATATATTTCTGTCTCACAAATAATAATTAAAGATTGCTGGAGAAATAAAAAGCCTAGAATCACAGATCAAAATGTTGCATAGGAACTTAGAGATCATCTTATCTGGTTTTCCACAGTCTCAGTTTAAGCAACTTTAACTGCTTGATGTTTTGAGGATTTTTTTTTTTAATGTTGAGTAAAACCTGTGTCCAATTAACGGTTGCAAGAAGTAACATAAGTTTCCTCTATTCCTTTGCTTTTTCTTTCCTTCATTCCTACTTTTAAAATTTTTATCACATTTTTTTTCACTCTTTTATTCTTTCATAGACCCATCCCCCAAACTTCACTTTTCTTCAAGTGTTTGTTAACTACCAGTCATTATGAAATTTTTAGAACTTCATTTTTAAAAAAAGAAAGAAAGAAAAGAAAGGCTTGATGCCTACCTTGAAGAAAGGTTTACAGTGGCCTTTCTCTGTATTTCCCTGACCCCAACCAGGATAAATATTATTCACATGGCTCAACATTTCTCCAGGGTGGAACCAAAGATATGTTAGACAGTGGCTTATACCCAGCTTTCTGACCTATCTGTTGTAACTTTACCCCTACCTCAGCAAAGTATATTGGAATATAAGTGGACAGTAGTGACATTATAGAAGTAACCTGAATCCACTTTATTTTAAAAGAGGGGGAAAGTAAAATTGTTTGCAAAACAAAGTACTTCAGCTTTTTATTAGTGCAAATAAGTGCAACACTGATGAAGAAATAGCAGGATGATCCAACACTGTGGTAGAGATGTCCGGTCTCAAGGAGGAGTTGGGTAGTTGACAGCTGCTTCCTCTCTAGTTCTTCAGTACTTCTAAGTGAGCTATGCCTCTTACACTATTCTTCTTAAATGTTACTAGACTCAAAACTACCAGTAGGTTTTAGACTTTTTCAGTGCCCATCTCTAAATATGTTGGCCAGAACTAAAAATCCTATGTACTGCACTGCTATTAACTAGTTAAGACTAATGTTTCTTTAGCTTAACTAATTGTAGCTAATATTCCTACATTTACTAAACACAAACTATATATTGGACAGTTTACTGCACAAAGGACTTTCAAAAATAAAGGATCACAGTTTCTCCTTCTAGTGGCAAATAAAACTGTGATAAGTAATATAATGAAAATAAGTATGTGTTTCTAAAGGGCCTCATGAGAGGAGGATATAGCCTTTATCTACAGAGGTCTGTCGAGGCTTGTACATGAATATTATTGGGGGGAATATGAAGAGACAATATTTTCAGTAATCTGCTATTCAGGTCCCCTCTTGCCTGGTGGTAGTTCTCTCTTTTATTCTCACTTAAATAAATCCTACTCCTTTCACTCTCACCTTAAAAAAAAAAAAGAAAGAAAGAAAGAAAGAGGAGGAGGACAAGGATGAGGAGGAGAAAGAGAGATGTTTTCATTGAAAAGGGAGGCTGAGGCAGAAGGACTGCAAGTTCAAAACAAGACTTATCAACTTATCAAGGCCCTAAGTAACTTAATGAAACCTGTCTCAAATAAAAATAAAAAGGGCTGGGGCCTGGATTATGGTTCCGTGGAAGAGCGCTTGCCTCACATGTATGAGGCACTGGGTTCGATCCTCAGCACCACATAAAAATAAGTAAAACAAAGGTATTGTGTCCGTCTACAACTAAAAAAAAAATTAAAAAAAAAAAAAAAAGCCTGGAAATGTTGCTCAGTGGTTGAGTGCCCCTGGACTCAATCCCTGGTACAAAAAAAAAAAAAAAAAATGAACAAAATGAGAGACAATTTTTTTTTTTTTAAGAGCGGAGACAAAATTTTTTTTAATGTTTATTTTTTAGTTATTGGTGGACACAACATCTTTCTTTGTATGTGGTGCTGAGGATCAAACCCAGGCCACACGCATGCCAGGCAAGCACGCTACCGCTTGAGCCACATCCCCAGCCCAAGAGAGACAATGTTTTATACTCAAAAGGGTGGCATGGAGGGCTGAGCGCTCGCCTAGCATGCATGAGGCACTGGGTTCGATCCTCAGCACCACATAATTATAAAATAAAGACATTGTGTCCACCTTTAACTAAAAAATAAATATTTTTAAAAAAGGCAGGTGGCATGGGGGAAGGCCTCTTGAGGAGGGGAAAGAACATATGCAAAGTTATTGAGAGAAATAAACCTTAGGCAGTCTAAGAAGAGTTAGTGGTTAAGAGGATAGAATCTGGATACAGAAAGACTAAAGAAATTAGAGGTAAACTGGACTGAATCCTACAAGGCCTCATACGTGCTTCTTAGTTGGACATTTCTTGTAGAGGGTGATGAGTCATGGGAAAATGAGAATTAGATGCATTTTAGAAATATATTTTTTTCCTAAGAAACTGACAGCTGTGGTGTGTTAGGGAAGAACTAGGTGACTAAGAGTCAGGCACATGATGGGGACATAGTTGAGTAGTTCAGAGATAAAGTGCTTGCCTAGCATGGGCAAGCCCTGAGTTCCATCCCCAGTGAAAGGAAGGAAGGAAGGGAGGAAGGGAGGAAGAAAGAAAGAGAGAGAGAGAGGGCTGGGGATGTGGCTCAAACGGTAGCGTGCTCGCCTGGCATGCGTGCGGCCCAGGTTCGATCCTCAGCACCACATACAAACAAAGATGTTGTGTCCGCCGAAAACTAAAGATAAATAAATAAATATTAAAAAATTCTCTCTCTCTCTTTAAAAAAAGAGAGAGAGGGAGGGAGGGAGGGAGTCCAGTGTAAGGGCAGACTTTTCTCTATATATCCCTCTGTAACTTTATGCATATATTACAGTCAAAAAAAAAAATAACTTTTAGAGCTGGGAATATAGCTCAGTTAGTAGAGGGCTTGCCTTGCATACACAAGGCCCTGGGTTCAATCCCAGCACCACCATCACCCCCCAAAAAAATAACTTTTAAGAAAAAAAATTAAAACTCTGAGTTTTTATTATGGAAGATAGATGGGAACACTAAGACCAAAGCAGTGACAAAAAAGAGATTTGTAGTCACCTAGAAAAAAAATTAT